ACATAGAACTATGTATCCTTAAGTACAAGTCAGGTGACATAGAACTGTGTATCATTAAGTACAAGTCAGGTGACACAGAACTATGTATCATTAAGTACAAGTCAGGTGAAACAGAACTATGTATCCTTAAGTACAAGTCAGGTGGCACAGAACTATGTATCATTAAGTACAAGTCAGGTGACATAGAACTGTGTATCATTAAGTACAAGTCAGGTGACACAGAACTATGTATCATTAAGTACAAGTCAGGTGAAACAGAACTATGTATCATTAAGTACAAGTCAGGTGACACAGAACTATGTATCATTAAGTACAAGTCAGGTGACACAGAACTATGTATCCTTAAGTACAAGTCAGGTGGCACAGAACTATGTATCCTTAAGTACAAGTCAGGTGACACTTTGTTAGGTGATGTACAGACTACTTTATTAGGTGACGTACAGACTACTCTATTAGTTGACGTACAGACTACTTTATTAGGTGACGTACAGACTACTTTATTAGGTGAAGTACAGACTACACTTTGTTGGGTGACGTACAGACTACACTTTGTTGGGTGATGTACAGACTACACTTTGTCAATTGACTGAAACAATTCATCATAACAATCATTAAACTACACAACACCATTAAGCAAGAAATATGATAATATTATCACCTACATTTTCTAGGTAAATTCTGCCACCTGTAATCCCAGTGCTGTGATGACACAAAGGATCTAGCTGCCTGTAAAATTTAAAATACATATCTTAGAGATGTGCTTATACTGAATCCACTCAATGGTGTACCACTTGAATTATATTTGATATACTACACCTTTCATGATCACCAGACTTGTACTTAATGATACACAGTTCTATACACTTTGTTATGTGACGTACAGACTACACTTTGTTATGTGACGTACAGACTACACTTTTTTAGGTGATGTACAGACTACTTTATTAGGTGACGTACAGACTACAGCCTGTACGTCACCTAACAAAATGTAGCCTGTATGTCACCTAACAAAGTGTAGCCTGTATGTCACCTAACAAAATGTAGCCTGTATGTCACCTAACAAAATGTAGCCTGTACGTCACCTAACAAAATGTAGCCTGTACGTCACCTAACAAAATGTAGCCTGTACGTCACCTAACAAAGTGTAGCCTGTATGTCACCTAATAAAGAGCACTCTGTCATTCTCTTACGTGTTTATTCAAGTGTGAAACTACACAATGAGCTCTCTGCACTGTGCTCACCCTATGTATCAAATCCCAATTTTTAAGTGTAAGCTCTTAAGCTTATCAGATGGCCTATCACCTTACAAATGACACTTTGTCTCTGTTAATCTGTTACCTTATAAAGGGGTCTCTGTAATCTAATAAAGGTCAGTGTCACCTACTTTAAGGGTACTTTAATATCTAATAAAGTGTAAGTCGTGTAAAATTGTTTGTCAGAATGGCTTATCACTTTAAGAGCAGAGTTGATCCGTTGGACTAAGCATGTTTCTGTGAAATTATACATGTGATTACTCTTCACTTATATTATGAACCCAGCAAGATTTTAGTAACTAATATGTGTTTCTTACACACAAAAATCATATATTTTATTGAAGTAATTTTATTAAAGATTTGTCTGTAAATTTTCATAGTCTTCACTCTGTCTGTCCAAGTTAAAGGTGATTTCATGTGCAACTTCCTCCAGGGCATGGGATGGTTGGCAAGTTTTAAATGTACTTGTGGACCACACCATATGAAGCAAAAGTAAAATTTAAAAATCATGAGATTTCCACAGCAAAATTTCTCACTGTCGTCCAGATAAAAACACCTCATTGTCAGGCTGCAGCTTGCAGGCCATACATTGCACATGCTTGCTCTATGTATCTCTTGTTTGTTCTAATAGTAATGTAACAAAAAGTATATCAGCACTAGGATAGAATGTCCCTAAATTACAATAATTTATCAAGCCTTCTAAGTAAGGTATATATAGTTTAAAATCATTTCCTGAGCTGTTCATAGTAGTAATATATATGTGTTGATATCTCTGCAAATCAAGAGATTCAAATTTTAGATTCTTGCGTATAATTATGTAAGTTTTATTTTTGTTTGTAATTGGTTGTAAATTGCAACAATCTATATTTGACATTCTGAATGGAAGAAGTCGGTGCTCAGATGTATCACGTGATACAGAAATATGACATGTTTTAAAGTGGTTTAATTAAATTTGAATAAAACACTGTAATAGGTCATGATGTGCTCTTTACCTTGTCATAGCAAAAAAGTTAAAAGGACCATACAAGGCCATAAAATCAACCCCCTATTTTAAAAACCCCTTTGAATGTTGTGGCAATGGTGATACATATTTCCAGCCTATGAAGTCTGGGATATAAATAAAATTTCATTCACTCGAGAGAAAGCTATCAGGAAGATTACATTCCCTCATGTAAAGTTGTATTTCCTCATCAATTGTTTTTTATTTATTCCGTGAAATATTTTCACTTTCACTAGCCATAACTAAAGGAATACGGATGGACCATGCATTCCTGATTAGGAAAGCCAACTAAAAAGAAACAAATTCCTCAAGCAAAGTTAAATTACTCGGAATATGGGCATGTAATGTTTCGATCCTTGGAAGTGTGTACTGTTAGCTGGTTCTTAAAATATAGAAATTATTATTAAAATAAAAGGTATTAAACAATGGATTTTGTTCACAACGAATGTGTTACAATGATTAAACTTGTGGTTCATACAGTGGCCAACCATCGGAAAAAATTAACTGGTGACACATCCTTGATGACCTATCGTGAACACTCTGTCTTCAAAACTCTCATCCGATGCCATTTCTCTCCAGATTTTACCACCGGTCAACGGTTTATCTACACGGGTTGTGAATCAGGAAGTATAATTAGTAAGTTCTGTTTAATGTACTGCCATAAAACTGACCAGTATATCATTGTGACAGCAGTTAACTTACTGCAATAAAACTGGCTAGTATATCGTATTAGATAACAGTTAACTCACTGCCATAAAACTGGCCAGTATATCATTGTGACAGAGTTAACATACTGCCATAAAACTGGCCAGTATATTATTGTGATAGCAGTTAACTTACTGCCATAAAACTGGCCAGTATATCATTGTGACAGCAGTTAATGTACTGCCATAAAACTGGCCAGTATATCATTGTGACAGCAGTTAACTTACTTCCATTAAACTGGCCAGTATATCATTGTGTTAGATAACAGTTAACTTACTGCCATAAAACTGGCCAGTATATTGTTGTGTTAGATAGCAGATAGAATGGAAAATTCTGTGTGATAGATAGTTATAGTAAGCTGATATACTGTCCAGTACTGTTGTACTGACAGACTGGCCACTATTGTCTTATTCATTGATATACTGTTAAGTACTGTTGCACTGACAGACTGGCCAGTATTGTCTCATTAGTTGATATACTGTTCAGTACTGTTGCACTGACAAACTGGCCATTGTTGTCTCATTAGTTAATATACTGTTCAGTACTGTTGCACTAACAGACTGGCTACTATTGTCTTATTAGTTGATATACTGTTCAGTACTGTTGCACTGACAGACTAGCCACTATTGTCTCATTAGTTGATATACTGTGAAAAATGTGTTTTTGATGTTAGACTCAGTACTGTGTTTGTGATGAGTTGGTTTGCAACTGATTAGAGTATTGTGGGTTTTTTTTCAGTGTTAGTTTACTTTTGAAATGATCATTTTATGAGATTTATTAAATGTAAGCTTTCTTAGATTGACTCATTAATTTTTCTTCCTCAGTTTATGATGTTCTGACTGGTAAGACTGTAAAAATTTTACCTGGACATCGAGGATGTGTACGGGATGTGTCCTGGCATCCTTTCCGACAGGAACTGGTCAGCACCTCTGTAAGTTAAACACTATCATCTAAAGATGTCTAAAGACTTTTTTTTGATAAGTTTAGACATGTAAAACGATTATGTTTACTATTATTAGTTATTATAATCGTTAGAATCTCTTATGTGGCAGTTTTTGTCTTAGGGTACATAGTAAATTCAAACCTGGTGGTACTTTGAATAGTTATATACAGGGTGTCCCAAAAAAATGTATACACATTTTGAATGATTATAAATAGAATGTTTATTAAGATATGTTTGAGTTTTATAATCCAAGTTAAAGAAGACAAGTGTAGAATATTTTGAGTTATCGTAGGTGTTCGAACTGATGACCGTTCTGGTCCAGGCACTGCAGATAACGATGACAGATGGAATTGCAAACATCACAAATCATTTTATTTGGTATTTTGGCACATTCTCTTTCAATTGCTGCTTTCAACTCTTTGATTGTTGCAGGTTTTTGTGCTATAAACCTTATCTTTGAGGTATCCCCATAAAAAAAAAACATTCTCGCACTTCCAGTAACACTTTAGGATAAATTTCCTTTTCTCAAAGCTTAGTCTTGCTTCTGTCATTACTTCAAATTAGTTGCACCTGTAAAGAAAGAAAGTTTAAGTGAGTTATGAGCTTTAAAAGATTCTACACTTGTCTTCATTAACTTGAATTATAAAACTTAGATATATCTTAATAAACATTGTATTTATAAGCATTTAAAGTATGTATAATTTTTTTGGGACACCCTGTATATTTTTTATGCCCAAGAAGATTGTATTCGGTGTTCCACCTGCTGTCCTTGTAATTCAAAACAAGTTTGGATTAGCAACAGAATTAACATTAATGAGTCGTGTTTGAAATTAAGAAAAACTGGAAATCATCCGTGGTTCCAGACTTTTTGGACATCCTGTGTAGGTACATATGTATATATGTGTACGTATACATACAATATACATACATAAACATATACGAAACAAATTTCATGGTATAATCTGTGTTGTGTCAGACTATTAACAGTGTAGCTCAGATTTTTAATACTGCTATGAATAGTAAGTTTCACTTTTTCAGTGATGATATTTGTCATGCTGGTGGGAAATGTTTTAAAAGTAGGCAACATTTTGCTTTATATCAATGATTTTAAATAAACCAATCAAGTCTCATGACAGCCACAGATGATATATAAAGTCATGGTGGAAAGGAATGTATCAGAACTACATTTTCCCATTGTTTGACATTTCATAGATAGTGTGATGCCAGTGAAAACTTGTTACTTTTGGGAAGGGTATGTAAAAGCCTTTTCTAATGTAGAATATTCATACATTCATGTCATAATAATGTGTTAAAATCTGGGAATGAGATTATCCAAGATAGAGATATCCCTTGTACTTAATGGCATTGGAAAACAAAAGAATATGGATCATCTTGGGTTATCAGGAATATCCAAAAAAGAAACCTCTTTTAGAGCCTCTTGTAAAAGGTGAGATTCCATGAACACAAAGGTCAGTGGCAAAAGCCATCCATATGCCCCAGGCAACAATATGTCATCCAATAAAGTGTAGTGTGTACTTCACCCAACAAAGTGTAGTCTGTCTATCAAAAGCCATCCATATGCCCCAGGCAACAATATGTCATCCAATAAAGTGTAGTGTGTACTTCACCCACCAAAGTGTAGTGTGTCTATCAAAAGCCATCCATATGCCCCAGGCAACAATATGCAACATAATCATGAAGCATCTCTATTTGGAAAAGCCTCAGTTAATGTGTACACAGATTTTTTCTATGATATATCTGTTCAACTGTCACATTCCTCAAACAGCTGGACAATGAAACAAGAATTCATGATGTTATTTTAGGGAAACTTTAGTCAGAGTTGACATAATAGGTTTTAGAACTTTTAATTGAGTGCAACTGCAGAAGATGACCTTTTCTTTCAATAGGTAGGTACAGTCGATTAGAATTCCAACCAGATGACCTTTTCTTTCAATAGGTACTGTACTTACCTATTGAAAGAAAAGGTCATCTGGTTGGAAATCTAATCGACTGTACCTCCATTAGATTTCCAACCTAGATGTTCATGCTATTCCATATGAAGACATATGGATCAAGTTGCCAGACATAGCGCCTATAGGTTTATATGTAATTGGACTCTTCAGAAACCATCTTCATCATACACACAATGGTCTATGGACAGCATGCAGGTGAAGTGCTGTGCTTTGGACATGATAGCCTAATGATGAAGCCATTTTGCAATGGAAACTCTAAAGATGCATAGTCATCAGTTAGAACATAACTGGACATGTAGACACAGACTTTAATGGCATGGCGAACCAAAAAATTATTTTAACATAATGTGCTCAATCTCGGTATACTTTTAAATATTATTTCATAAAATGTTTGTCAGAAATATGATGAGTAATTACATGATCCTGTAAAGTACACTTAACTGATGCATGAGATAAAATTTGAGACATGACATATTCAGAAGAACGTTTTTGATTAATTATATTATTATCTTTAAACTGAGCAAGATATTACCTAGTGGTTAACATTGCCTCACTGTGAATCTGAGACCTCATGCCAAAAAAAACTCAAATCCCACTACAAAAGTGGTCCAAGAAGTGGTGGTGAGTACTGGGCAGTAGCTGTCTTTCAGTTCATAATTAAGGATAGCTTTAAGCAGATAGCCCTTAGGTAGATTTAAACACACAAATTGAAAACTGTCTTTTAATTACTGCAATACTATATGTACGTCACATAAAGAATATTATATTTACGGTAGAATAGATACACAGAAGATACTAAAACAACTAAAATATTGTTTTCCACTTGTAAGTTCTGATACCTTCCCTGCCTCTTATATTGGACAGAAAACAGAACTTTTGGCCCTGGAGTTCATAGAAGGAGATTTTTTTTCTTTTCGGTTATTTGTGTCCAGTGCAGTATTAACTGGGAGGGGGAGCTAGTGTTTCTAGAGTTGCATTGTTGTTTCTGTCGTGTCTCTGAAGCTCTTAAATCATGTTTTTTAATAGTGGGATGGAACTCTACGACGTTGGACGCACAGCAGGAAACTGGTACTAGATTCTGATGATGACAGAGAATTTGAGAGGACAGGACATCTTGGATTGAGGAGGTCTCGAAGAATTGCTCAGTTAAGGAGGAAACCCCAGACAAGCTAGTGTATTGTCTGCATTGACTCCTATCTAAAACGAGTCTCGTGGTTTGATAGGATAACTCGGAGGCTTCCTATACATGACCTTATCTACTGGCTGAGTTAGTGCTACGAAAATATGGTGCAAATTAAGTGATTTTAAATGACAAGTAACACTGGATGAATAATTAGACTAATATTTTGAAATAATTTTGAATTTACGTAAGAAAATTACAAACTGTTCCATAAACGTAAATAGTGTTGTGGGTTTTATATACATTTTGAAATGTGTGTTCTGTAAGATAACTAGTTTTTGTAGAAATTATTTTCAACAAAGACAAGTATGATGATGAAACAATGTTTTTTATACTAGAAATTACTCATTATTATATATTATTTGAAAGATTTTAATATTCTTTCCTTGCTGAATATTCCTTCTCAGCAAAGACAGAGATTTTATTCAATCCTGTAGTTTTTGTTCTAGAGTTTAAATGTACGCAGAAAACAAAGCCTTTACCTTCCTGATGTTATGAATGGATTTTTTCTGTGTGATTTTTATTTTAAATTTTCCAATTTTGCTGTGGTACGTAGCTTTATGTGGAGAACTGTGAGATATTAGATAGACAGGTTATAGCTGTGACGTCGGCAGACTGAAGAGTTAGGATTATGCTGATGATAAAACAATAGATAATGTACAAAATTTCTTACTGTTGTCCTACAGTAATCTAGTGGTTCATTGAAAGTTGTATTTCAGATGGAAAGTTATTTCTCTGCTCATACAATAAGTTTGAAACTAAGGAAACAATTAGACCTCCAGATTCAGGTGCACAAGGTGTTTCTGTCAGTTTATGTTAAAATTAATTTAAAAAGACAAAAGCAAATGATAACCTTGTTAGATTTCTAATGCCGAAAGTTTTCTATTCCCATGTCTTAACTTTCGATTATTCGCTAACTGCACTTTCACCGTCAAGTAGAAGGTTCCTGATTCTCCTTACTTGATCCTGAGGGTAAAAAATTAATAATAACAGAAGAACACCTCTAGATTCTATCTTGAGATGAATTAAATCATCTGTACAGTCTGTTGGGAAGTGTAGAGGGTAATGTGAAATATATCTGTAAACAGATAGGATGTGAAAATATTTGTCAGGCATGTTGTAGCTGTCGTTAATACACCGTGTATTTGTTACAGTTTAAAACAGACTTGTCAGGTATGTTGTAGCTTTCATTAATACACCGTGTATATGTTACAGTTTAAACAGACTTGTCAGGCATGTTGTAGCTGTCATTAATACACCGTGTATTTGTTACAGTTTAAAACAGACTTGTCAGGTATGTTGTAGCTGTCGTTAATACACCGTGTATTTGTTACAGTTTAAAACAGACTTGTCAGGTATGTTGTAGCTGTCGTTAATACGCCATGTATTTGTTACAGTTTAAAACAGACTTGTCAGGTATGTTGTAGCTGTCGTTAATACACCGTGTATTTGTTACAGTAGGAAACAGACTTGTCAGGTATGTTGTAGCTGTC